GGGGCGGGCCGGGCCCGGCTATAAAAATCCCCCCCCAAAGAGGGAAGAAACTGCCGGTTGAGGGGGAGTTCAGCCTTTCCTTCCCCGGTCTCTTTTTTTTTTTTTTTTTTTTTTTTTTTTTACCCGCCGTGGACGGAGCCGCCCGCCCCGAGGCCGCGGGGATGGGCGGGCGCCGCCTCCCCGCTCCATTAAGGGAGGGGAGGGATCGGAGCCGGGGTGGGAGGGTGGTGTGTCCTCTCCGCTCGTTTTAGGAGCTGGGAAAGAGTTCGGGGTGGTGGTTGGGGTGGGGGGGGTGGGGGGGTGTCCCACCCTCGGGGTGGATGAAGGGGGTGAAGGAGCTACAGCTCCGGTAGCCCCGGTGGGGCGGCCCCGGGGGTGGAGCGGGGTTGGGGGGGAGCCGGGCTCACCTTGGGCCACCCCCCCACCATTACCAACCTCCCCCCCACCCCACCCCCCCCACCCCCCCCGGGTCCGGCTCCACCTTCCGGGGCACCTGGGCCAATTGGGAGCCGCAGGGGGGAGTCCCCCCGGCGGGGCTAAGGCCGCCGACGCCGCCGCTCCCCGGCACTCGGGCGAACGGCGGGGTGGCGGGCGGCGGCGGGGACCCCTCCCCCGGGGGGCGTGGGGGGAGCGGCGGGGGGTCCCGTGTCCGTCCTGCCCCCCCCCTTCCCTTCCTGAAGCCCCGGAGTGACATCCCCCCCCCCCCGCCTCCTCCTTCCCCGTCGGGTCCCGCTTTGGCCGCCCGGAGCCGGGGCAGCGCCCGGAGCAGAGGTAAGTGCGGCCGCCTCGGCCCCCGGGGGGGGGGGTGGTCGGGGCCGGTTGGGGCCCCCCCGGGGCTCAAGGATCCCCCCCCAACTTTAGTAATCCCCTTCCCCCCGGGTCCCCTTCTCCCGGCAGGATCCGGCCCCGGGGCGGCGTGTATCCCCTCCTTCCTCCCCGCTTTTCCTCGATGTGGGGTTCCCCCTACTTGGGTCGAGCCCCCCCACTTCACCCCCCGCTCCCAGCGCCCCCTTATCCTTCCTGGGGTCCCCCCAAACCTCTGCCGTCGGGGCAGGGGGGGAGGAGGTGTGTCGCAGCGATCGCATCTCACCAGGGCGTAGCAGGCGATAACGAAATGGGGGTCCAGCCCCATCGCCCGCAGCTGCAGCCACCCCTCGGCCGAGGGGGGGTTATTTTGGGGTTCAGGGGTGCGCTCTCACCCCCCCCCCGGTGAGATGTGTCGCTGCTTTGCAGCCCCAATGGCAGCTCCGGTGTCACCAAATAGTGTCCGTAACGAAAGCCCGGCTGAGGGGGACCCTTCAACATTGGGGGGGTGTCCTGTTTTGGGGGGGTGTCCGTGCCCCCCAAACCCCGGGGTAAGTACCCCTCCATCTGCCCCCCCACACCTCCAGCTGGTGCTGTGGAGGGCAGAGGGACCCCCGGCGGGGTCAGGCGTGTCCCCAGCCCTTCTTGGGGACACCGAAACCTCAGTCGGGGCTGGCAGGGTGGGGTCCTGCCCCGGGCTGGGGGATGCTGTGGGGTGAGGGGGGGGTCCCCCCAGGCAGCCAGTGGGGCCTTAATGGGTGTCTCCAGTGCTGCGGCACAAATCTGCCCGGTTTAGCCCCGAAACAAGACTCCTGGCTGCACACGGCAGCTCCATCCCTGTCCCCATCCCTGTCCCCGTCTCCATCTCCATTCCTGTCCCCATTCCAAGCCCCATCCTCGTCCTCGCTTCTGTCCCTGACCGCATTCCCAGCTCCATCCACATCTCCATCCCAAATCCTGTCTCCATATCCATCCCTGTTTCCATCCCTCTCGCCGTCTCCACTGTCCCCATTCCCATCTCCATCCCCATTTTTATCCCCGTCCCCATTTTTATCTCTGTCCCTGTTCCCATCTCCAACCCGCATCCTTGTTTTTATCCCTGTCCCCATCCGCGTTTTTATCCCTGTCCCTGTCTCCATCCCCATTCCCATCTCCAACTCTATCGTCATTTTTATCCTTGTCCGCTTTTCCATCCCGATTCCCATCTCCATCCCCATTTTTATCCCTGTCCCCATTCCCATCTCCATCCCCATCCCCATTTTTATCCCCATCCCTGTCTCTGTCCCCATTCCCATCTCCATCCTCATCCCCATTTTTATCCCCATCCCCGTCTCTGTCCCCATTTCTGTCTCCATCCCTGTCCCTGTCCCCATCCTCATTCCCAACCCCATCCCTCTCTCCATCCCCGTCTCTGTCGCCATCACTGTCTCCATCCCTGTCCCCATCTTCTTCCCCTCCTTGTCCCCAACCCAATCCCATCCCCGTCCCTGTCCCCCCATTCCCCGTTCTCACCCGGGCTTTTCCCAGCCGCCCACTGGCGATGCCCACGGAGGGGGGAACCTGCGCCCACCTAAATCGGGGTGTCGAGCGCAGGCGGGCGCCCGCCCCCACCGCACCCCACGGCAGGGAAGACATCGACAGTGGCCACGGCCCCGAGCCACCACAGTCCCCGTCCCTTGGCGTGGCAGAGGCGGCCGCCGAGCACCATCTTGGTGCCACGAGCATCCCCAGGTGACACCGGTGGCCTTTTGGGGTTGGGGAGGGGGGACGGGTTTTTCCTCCGCTGAGCCCCAAAACGGGAGCCCCCCATGCCAATGGTCTCGGGCCTTGCGGTAGAGCCCACCAGAGAGCTTGGAGGGGGGCTGCCGGGAGGGGGGGTTGGACCCCGGGGAGGGGGGGGGTGGGGGGGCAGCATCCGCAATGCGGCAGCTCCCAACGTCATGAGCCGGGGTGCGGCGGCTCCGCAGAGGGGTTGGCTCAGCCCCCGGGGCTGGCCGGGCCCCCGCAGCCGCAGTGGCCTTGGGCGGAGGCAAGGTGGTGTGGGGGGGACACAGGGACAGGGAGAGCACCCCCCCCCCCAAAGCTGCCACCCCATCCCATCCCATCCCATCCCATCCCACCCCACTCCTCTCCCCCCCCCCAAAAGGTCGGGCGGGATGCGGCACCCGCAAAGCGTTGGGGTGCAGGTAGAGGTGAGGGGGGGGGCGGGGGGGGGCGTCAAGCGAGGAAGGGCCGGATCCTGCCTGGCGCTGGGCCGGGGCCACGCGGGCCGGCTGATGGCAGGGATTAGGCGAAGCCGTCGGTTTCAAAGTCACGCCAAGGATGGCGGCGGGCTCGGCCTCGCCCGTGACACCCCCCCCCCCCCAGCCTTGGGGACCGGTGTCCCCAAGCCACCGCGGCGTTGGGGTGGGGGGTGTGTGTGTGTCCCCCAAGGTGAGGACAGCGCCGGGGCCTTGGAGGGGGCTTCTCTTCTTTTGGGGCTGCTTGGCTGAGCACCGTGGGGCTTTTTTTTTGGGGGGGGGGGGGTGTTGGGGAGGGGTGTGTGTCTCCTCCAGGTTTTTGGGGTGCTTCGCTTTGCTGACGGAGCGCGAAAGGTGGGTGTGGATGGCGGGGACGGGGACAGGGGGGGACACACACACATGTCTGTCCCCACCGGCGTTAACCCCTCCGTCCTCAGCGCTCCCCAAATCACGGGGATGGGCGAGCAGAGCGAGCGCCGCTCCTTGTCAACCCCAAATTCAAGGCCAGGTGGGCTGCGAGGGGCCGGGGGCTGCGTCCTTGAGGGAAGTTGGGGGGGGGAGGATGTGGGGGGGGGGGGGTTCAGCTCCCGCCGCTGGATCCAGGGCACCCCGAGCTCATCCCCGGGGGCTGCTCAGCTCGTTGGGGCCTCGGCTTCGCCGACACAAAGGAGACTTTGTGCCTTCCTCCTCCTCCTCCGCCGCCATGGCTGCTGGGGACGGCGTCGCGGCCAGCCGGGGGGTTCGCAGCCACCCGGGGGGGGTCTTTGCAACCTTCCATGGGGGTTTGCAAGTATTTTTGGGTGGGGGGGTTGCAACCATCCAGAAGGTCTACAACCTTTTTTGGGGGGGTTGAAGGTTTGCGACCTTCCAGGGGGTTCGCAAGCATTTGGAGGGTTTGTGACCTTTTGGGGCGTTTGCAATGTTTTGGGGTTTTTTGGTTCTTTTTTGTTTTGTTTTGGTTTGGTTTTTTTTGGGGGGGGGGGGAGGTTTGCAGCTATCCAGGGTGGTGGCAACCACTTTTAGGGTCTGCAAACATCGAGCAGGTTGGCAACCTTGTGGGGGTTCTGCAGCCATCCAGGGGGGATTTGCGGATATCCAGAAGGTTATGACCTTTTTCGAGGCTGGGGGGGGTGTGTGGGATTTGAAGCCATTTGGAGGTTCTGCAGCCATCCGGGGGGTGGTTTTCAGCCTTCTGAGGGGGTTTGTAATGTTTTCTTTTTTGGGGAGGGGATGTTTGCAAGCTTTTGGGAGATTCGCACCATTTTGGGGGGTTTGCAGCCATCTGGATGCTTTGCAACCGTGCCGGGGAGGTTGCAACCGTTGGGGGGGGGTGGGTCCTGCGACCATCTGGGGAGTTTCCAACCTTCTGGGGGCAGGGGATTTGCAGCCATCCAGGGATTTGAAACCTTCTGGGGGGGGCCAGGGGGGCTGTTGCAATATTTTAGGGGGGTTGGCAGCCTTTTGGGGGCCGGGGTGAGCTCAACCATCCAAGGGTTTGCAACCACTTAGGGGATTTGCAACTTTTTTTGGGGGTGGGCAGGTTTGCAACCATCTGGGGGTGCACACCCCCCCCTCCCCCCCCCCGTTTTGGGGGGTTTGCAACCATCCGGCAGCGCCTGCTCTCTGCAAACCCCAGGCCCGAGATACCTGCAAAACCCCGCAAAAAGGCGGCGGCTGGGAAATGGTTTCCAGCGGCGGGTCCTGCATCGCCCCAAAAATCCCCGGCACCTCGCCCAGCCGAGCTGGGCACTGGCTTTTCCCCACCCTCCCCCGGAGAAGCGGCTTCAGGGCGAGCATCTCCCTTCACTTGGTGGTTTCCGAAGCATTTTTGCCTATTTTTGCCGGCTGATAATAATTTATTCCCTTTTTTTTTTTTTTTAAAGTCTGGAGACCAGGCTGGGGGTGTCTGGCTCCAATTTACAGAGGATTTGAGGGGAAATTAAGGGGGGGAAAAAAAAAAAAAGGAAGGTGCAAGCTCGCTACTCCTGTTCTGTGTATGGCACTGGTAGAATTCACTGTGCAACCCCGCGGTCAGTGAATTACCATAGGGCCATAAACAGAGCAGAGAAAGACCCGCGAGCCCCGCGGGGCCATCGCCGACGTCACCTGGCCCGTTTTGGCACTAGCACATTTTTGCTTTTATTTGTAGCTTTTGAGCAATTATGTGTAGTGCCAATATGGGAGGAGGTGGAGAGAGCAGCGCCGGGGCGGGGGACGGACGAGCATCGGTGCTGGGGAGGTGGGGTCAGCGAGGGGGGATGCTGCTGGGGGTGGGAAGGTGGAACCCACCCTCCCCAAGTTGCTGGGGTGATGGAAGGGTGGCCGTCAGCCCCCATTCATGGGTGTCATTGAGGGGGTGTCCAGCCCAACGTGGTGGCCCAGCCTGTGGTGGCATCTCAGCCAGGCCATGTCCCCATGGTGGCTGTCACAAGGGGGATGGGACCCCCCCCCCCTTCCCCACGCCTTGTCCCCTCCCTCGCCACAGTGGTGGCATCTCCCCAGGGTTGAGATGAGCATCTCCACAGGGGTTGAGCATGGAGGTTTCTGGCTGGATGGATGAAATTATATATATATATATTTTTTTCCTATTTTTTGCAGCTTTCCAGACCTGGCACCATGGCCATGTGTGGGTGTGTGTGTCCCCCCCCCCGGCCCTGTCCCCATGCCAGGGCCTGGCTGCTGAGATGGTGCCGGCGGTGCCCGGCCCCAGGGCTGCCTTTGGCAATGGTAGAACTCACACTGGTGCGGTAGCAGGATCCGGTGGTTCTAGACTTGCCAACTACAGCCCCGGGGAACCGCCGCGGACACGGACCCCTGGCACCCATGGGTGCAGCCGGGCACCCTGTGCATCCCCCCCCCCCCCCCCATCCCCCCTCCCAGAGCTCTGCTGCCAGGCTGGGAGGGTGCTCATGGGGTCCTGCTCCATCCAGTATGGATTTTGGGGAGGGGGGGGATGCAGTGGGTGTCTGTGTGCATGTGGCACAGGGGGGTGGTGATGGTGTGACCCCCCTCCCCGTCAAGGAGGGGGTCTGGCATCTCAGGGTGTCTCCATGAAGGGGGGGGGGGGGATGACACAGGGACCTGCTGGATACTGGTCATTTGAGCAGCACGGCCGCGTGTCCCCGCGTGACTCCGGGCGTTAAGGGCTGATCCGGCCCCATGGTGTGGGCAGAGCAGCTTGGAGCGGGGGGGGGGTGGAATTAGGTGACCAGCTCCTGCCCCAGATCCAGCCCTGACGCAGCCCCCCCACTTCGGGGAAGGGAGTAAGGGGGGAGACTGAGGCACTGGTGAAAGCAGCTGCCACATGTCCCCAGGTGCAGGAGGGATGGGGACAGCTTTTAGGGAGGACGGGGGTAGCACGGGAAGGGGCAGCTCTCTGAGACCTTGGGGGGTGGGGGGGTTGTGCACACCCCCTTCACCCCCCCCACCGTCCCTCCCGGGGCGGCTGGTTGGGATATGTAGGGCAGCGCTGGGTGATTACGGGGCTTTCGGCGTAAGCCCGCGGAGATTGGATCACTCTGGATTAGGCTGCACGCTCAAATCATCCTCCCTGCACCGGGGGGGGGTGGGGAGGGACAGACAGACGGACGGATGGACGGGGTCCCCATCACCCTCCCAGGGTAGGTGGGGGGCTGGGGCGCACAGGTTGTCTGTGTGTCTGTCCATTCATCCGTGTGGTCATCCAGCTAGCAAATGTCCATCTGTCCGTTCAACCAGCTGCCTGGCCGTTGTCTGTACAGCTAGTCATCCCTCTGTCTGTCTGTCTGTCCAAGCCTTTGAACCATCCATCTACCCATCCAGCTGTCTACCCATCCAGCCGTCTGTCCAGGCAGCCAGCCGTTGCTCCATCTACCAGTCCGTCCATCCATCCATCCATCCATCCATCCATCCATCCATCCATCCATCCATCCATCCATCCATCCATCCATCCATCCATCCATCCATCCATCCATCCATCCATCCATCCATCCATCCATCCACCCACCCACCAGTCAGTCTGTCCATCCCTCCCTCCCTCCTACCGACTCAGCAATAGGGCCCTGCCCCGAGGTGGGGGGGGCAGGGGTGGAGCATCCCCCCGCCCCACCCCTCCCATTAGGCCACACCCCCACGAGAAGCCCCGCCCCTCCCCAAAGGCTCCTCCCCCAGCAGTCACCCAAAGGGGAGCTGGTGCTCCTGGGGACCACCCCACCCCACCCCCGGCACCTGCACCCTATTGGGGATCACCCCGAGACCCCCCCCCCCACCCTGCCCCTTCCCAGCTGCACCGGCTGGGCTCATCCTGAGCACCCAGCAGCACTTTGGGGCTGAAATCCTGCAATTTGGAGCCAAATCCTGCCATTTGGGGCCCACCCTGGGCGAAGCAGTGCCGGGGTGGAGGGGGGGGTGGGATGGGGTAGAAGCAACAAACCCCCACACGGGAGCCCACACTTGGGGGGCACCCCCCCCTTCTCTCCCCAGTGCCTGGGCGACCCCCACATAGTGCCTGGGCTGGGGAGGGGGCGCAGGATCGGCCCCCCCCCCAGCTTCTCCCCAACTGGGAAAGACGAAGCGGAGCTTGGGGGGGCCGGCGGGAGCCGCCTCAGCGGGAGGCCCCGACCTGCTTATTAAAGACCGATTAACGAAGATTAAAACCTCCCGGCAGCGTCTGCCGGGCCGAGCCCCTTCCCCCACCAGCGTGGTGGCGGATCCGGGGCCCCTTTGAGGGACCCCCAGCCCGGCCAGGGGGTGTCCTGGGGTCCCCCGGGGTACCGGCATCCCCAGGACGCGGCGCTCGGCCGAGGATCGAGGACACCCACGAGCATCCGCGGGTGCTCGGGTAAATCAGCCGCCCTCCTCCTTCCCTCCTCCTTCTCTTCCCTTCCTTTCCCCTGTCCGTCTGTCCGTCCTTCCAGCCTTCCTCCGCTTTTTTTCTCGCCCCAGGTTACAAGAAACCCGCAGGATTCACGGAGCCAGGGCCGCAACCGTCCCGCGGCCGGAGTTCAAATAAAGCTGCTGAAACCCATCGCTCCGCTTCCCCGCTCCTCCTTGGGTTTGCGCCCCCGGATAATGCGCCCCGCTTTGTCGGGGGGGAGGGACGGGACGGGGGGGGGACGGGACGGGACGGACGGCGGTGGCTGCCGCAGCTGAAAACGGAGGAATTCGCCCCAAAAGGCCAGCTCAGCTCCGGGGTGGGAACACCGGGGGGGGGATGCTCAAGCAACCCCCTGGTTTCCACCCGGCCCCAGGTTGGAAAAGGAAGGAGGTGAAATTGCACAAAGGCAGAATTAAACCCCTAAAATCATCCCGGCATTGAGTGGTTCCTCCTCTCCAGCCCCCAACGTCGCAGCAGGGCAGAGCGGAGCCCCAAAACCCCCACTGAGGAGGGGGGGGGAAGGCAGGATACACCAAACCCCCCCAAAACAGAAGAGCCAGACCACAGGGGTAAACACATTTGTAACAATTTATTGAATGAGGCAATAATAGACACTGGGAAAACAAGGGGGGGGGTCCATGCTCTGCTACTTGCCTGGTTTTTGTCTTTTTTGGGGGGGGGGGGAGGGGGAGGGCAGGGGGGAACCTCTCGGACTAAAAGAACGTCATTGCCAAAGAAACACTGACTTGAAAGCCACCGACATCTTCACGACGACAATAAAAAAATAATAATTAAAAAAAATTAATAATAACAAATCGGAGAACCAGGACTGTTTCTATGGAAAGATCTCCCTCCCCTCATTAAAGTACAGAAGAAAGGTATACAAAGAACATCTGATATTTTTCCATATAAAACAAGTAAATACAAGAATCTGAAAACTTTCTTGAAGGCGGAGCGAGATGTGAAGAACTTTGTTAATGGCCACTTGGAAATAATAATAATTAAAAAAAAAAAAAAAAAATTAAATACCATGCACAACTGCACGCGCGGCGGGGCTGTGGCTGACGGAAGGTTCGGCTGGGGGCTGCCGCTGCGACGCGAGGGTTTAGCCTATGGGAAAGCCAAGTAAATTTGCCAAAAAAACCCCTCCGAGGCCTTTTTTTAAACTCTCCTGGAGAGGTTTTTGGGGTGATGGGGATTCAAAGTCCCCAGCAGCAGCAGAGCTGTGCTGGGAGATGTACGCAGGGCAGGAGCAGGGGGGTGGTTTGGGGGGTGGAGGGGTGCAGAGGGGTCCCCCCGAAGGGAAGGGTTTGCGCTCGCATCCCCTCCGCTGCCTTCAAGGGAAGATTTTCCTGCGGGAATCGGAATCTCCAGGGCCGGGCAGGGGAGGATGGGGGGGTCCTGGGGGGTGGCAGCGGGGCTCCTGGGCGAGGGAAACGTGGGGAAGGGGGAGGCCCCGCAGCCAGAGCCCCTCTGGAGGCGTTTCCACTCCGGTCTAGATCCACGAAAACGGGAAATAATAATAATAATAACAATAATAATAATAATAAAGGAAAAAAAATAATCTAAAATGGCAGATACATTTTTAAGAGCAGAGAAGTAAGAACAGGTCTCCAGTGTGCACCAAGGGGAGCCGAGCGGAGCGCGGCCGGGATCCTCCGCAGCAAAGGTCGGTGAAGGCAGAGGCGGCCTCGCTCGCCGGCGCGGGGAGGGCGGCAGTGGCGCGGGCTCCTGGAAGCACCTTAGCCCTTCCAGAGCTTGCCACCCCCCTGCAGTCACACATGCTTTTTTTCTGTTTGTTTGTTTGTTTGTTTGTTTTGTTTTGTTTTGTTTTTTTCCCCCCAGGAGAGAAGCCTTTTCTAAACTCTTTTCCGTATTTTTTTTTTTTCTGGTTGTGGTTGGTTGGTGGTTTGTTTTGTTTTTTGTTGTTTTTTTTTTTTTTTTTTAATTTTATTTTTGGTTGTTAGTTGTTTTTTTTGGTGGATTTATTTATTTACTTATTTTTTAAATATAGAAGTCCACGTTAAAATCTTTTGAAACCTAATTTGCCAAGTGCGGACGGCGGTGGGCTGTGCCTGGGAGCGGCGGCGATGCTGCTGGAGTGGTTTCAGCCGAGGGCGTCCGTGCTCCCCCCAGGCCTCACCCTGCTCGATCCCAGGCCGGGGGGGAATGGGGGCTAGGGGAGTTGCTTTATTTCACTTTGTTTTCTTTTAAATCTCCTCGAAATGAAAAGTCCCATCACAATTTGGCTTCTCACTCCTACGAAAGCAGAGCGGCGCTATAAAAATGCACTTAACACACATCCTCTGCCAGTATTTTTTTTTTCTTTTTCTTTTTTTTTTTTTCCTTTTAAAAAACCCAAAAGGTTAACAAAACCTTTGCTTCCAAAGCTGGGAGACTCAATGCCACCTGATTGCATCTCTGGAGAGGCGTAAAAAAATTATTCGCGTAAGAGACGAGGAAAATCACCGTGATCCCGCTCTGGGCATCGTCACTGTTCCAAGGTCACCACTTCCACCGCCTGCCCGTCCATGGTGACGGCACTGTCCGCTATCCTCGTGGTAACGGGTGCCATCGCCACCTGAACGGGGCCGTTGCCTTGGGCCAGGCTGGTCACCACAGTCTGGTACATGCTGACGGGGATCTGGACGAGACCTGAGGAAAGAAAAAAAAAAAAAAGAAAAAAAAAAAAATAATTGGAGTGGGGTTGAGAGGGAAGGAGTGGAGCAAAACCAGCACAAGGGATGAGGTTGGTGTGGCCGGGTGCCGCGGAGCTGTCCCCAGGGGCTGCGTTCATGCTGCTCCGGAGACGATCCTTTGGATCGTTGGAGTACTCCCAGCTGGAGTGCTGGGGCCAGCTCGGGGGCCCCCAACAGCAGAAGGACCCGGAGCTGCTCGAGCGGGGCCAGAGGAGGCCACGGAGATGCTGGGGGGGCTGGAGCAGCTCCCCTGGGGGGCCGGGCTGAGAGAGTTGGGGGGGTTCAGCCTGGAGAAGAGAAGGCTCCGGGGAGCCCTTCGAGCGGCCTCCCAGGGCTTAAAGGGGGGACAGGAGAGGTGGAGGGGGACTCTGGGTCAGGGGGTGGGGATGGGACGAGGGGTGACGGTTTTAAGCTGACAGAGGGCAGATTTAGGTGAGATCTGAGGCAGAAATCCTTCCCTGTGCGGGGGTGAGGCGCTGGCCCAGGGTGCCCAGAGCAGCTGTGGCTGCCCCCTCCCTGGAAGGGTTCAAGGCCAGGCTGGACAGGGCTTTGGGCAACCTGGGCTAGTTAGTGGAAGACGTCCCTCTCATGCCAGGGGGGTTGAGACTGGATGGTCCTTGAGGTCCTTCCCAACCCACAGCAGCCTGTGAGTCTGTGCACACAAAGCCAGGAATCAGGGAAGGCTCCTGCCTCCCAGCCGGCAGCGCCCGCGCTGGTGTCATTATCTGCAGTTTGGTGGCCTGGCTGTGCCACTCGCCCACCGTGGTGCCACGCGGGGTGGGATGGGGTAGGGTTGGCTGGCAGCACGGTGAGCTCGTGGTGGGGCTGTCCGGCCGCAGGGAGAGAGAATAAGGAGAGAAAGAAGCAATTTTTAGAGGAGGAACCCAAAGCAGACGCCGGGGTGGCGCAGCAGGTACCTGTACAGCCAACCCTGTCAGGCCGTGTTTTGCTGGAGGCAGGGATTGCTCCCACGTTTTCCTCCCACGTGCCACCACACAGCCTGGCAGCGGTCACTCACAGTTGAGGAATGCACTTCTGAAACCCTTTTTTCCACTTGATTTGCCCAGAACTGGGAACCCTGGGGCTGAGGAAAGGATAAATTTGGCTTCTCCTCCCTGCGATTCTTCCACCCCCTGTAACTCCACACGCTGCTCAAACACCTTCCCACTTCTGCGGCCCAGGAGAAGGATCCCATCGCTGTGCAGACCACAGACCTCCTGCACAGCCCACGCGCCCCAGTACAGCCACTGGCCTCTCTCAAACACAATCTGCTTCCTCCAGCTCCATCCCAGCCAGGTCTGTCTGCCTTCGCACCGAGATGGGTAAAAGGCAGCGTGGGACCAGTGAGCCCTGGCCAAGCCATACTGGCTCCAGGAACTCACACGTGGATATATAACAGAGATAAAAGGAAAGCAAACCAAGTTTCTCAGCTCTTCCCCAATCGTGGATGGATCTGGCAAAGTAAGAAACGCCTTTTTCCCAAGGGTGGCTCAGCTACAGAAAGGGATCAGATGCCTCCAAGCTGAAGCTGGCGAAGCTTCGGACACGTTTTTGGCCACAGAGGAAAGCACCGCTGTGCCAAAAGCGGAGTCCTGGTTAGCTAGGTCACCCCAACCAAGGTGGCAACGAAACAACAAGGCCCCTGAGGATATTCTGAATGATGAAAAGAGGTGGGGAAAATAGCAAGGAGCACTGGTACCGCTCGATACAGCCGGGCAGGGGAAGGGGAACAGCAAATCCTGCAGGCTGGCAAGATAAACCTCATCTTTCTAGTCCGGTATGATCTGCCTGTACCCACTGCTCGCTGTCTTTGGCTTGGCAAAGCATGAGTTTAGCCTGTAAACGCTACCTCGTACGTGACATTTCTGAAACTATCTGCACCTCTGTTGGGGGAAAAAAATAATAAAAAAAAAAAAGAACGCTTCTAGAGGTCAACAAATCCTTCCAGCCAGCAGCATAGGATGGCCAGCCCCTGAAACAGCATTCAAACGGTTTAAGACAGCAGGTTCCTGACCCAGGCTTTCCCCAAAAAGCAGTACAATCTCTTTAGATTCAGGTTTCTGTGGCAGAGAGCAGACCTCTGTCCCGCCAAGGGCACTCGTTTAATAACACGAGGCAGCAGAGCGCGGCTCGGTGTCCTCAAATAACTTACTGTACAGACAGAAAAGCTTACGAGTTAATCGTGCTGACCAGGTGGGTGACCCCGGCGGAGCACAGCGCGCTTTGCAGTCCTTCAACATCCCTCCCCCCTTGGGATCTCAAAGCGCTCTGTGGGTGGGAAAGTTTCATGATCCCCCAGCCAAAGGGCTGCCCCACGCCAGAAGGGTTACAGCCGTGTTCATCCAGTTCACGACCCAACTGAGGAATTGTTCTCCTGGTTGTGGTGGTTCAACGCTCCAGATCAACTTCCCCGCTCCAGACCAACAACCCAACTAAGCCCTTTGGGTTGCTAACCCAAAGGAGACTGCTGGAGCTCTCAAATGACAAATGAGCCCTACCCATGGCCAACCCAAAGACCAGAGTCACCACGACCCTCATGGACCACAGGGCATGCAACACTGAAAGCCTGATCCCTCCACGCTGTTCGAATGTGCGCGTTGGCCAGGGTAGGGCTGCTGCCAAAGATGGGTGCTGTCAAAAGATGGTGAGACATGAAGACCCAACTAGGGTCATCTTTGAAAAGGACGAGTTCATGTCACCCGAGATTTGGCCAAGGCTGGCCACACCTTGGGAGCGCACGGAAGAGCAGGGAAGTCTCCGTGAGAGACGGCGACACGCAGATCCCTTTCTGCATGGGATTAAACTAAATCGCCTCAGCGTCTGACGTAGCGGCCTTCCTGCCAGGGGTGGTAACAAACCAAAGGAGGAGAGGGCTGGAAAGTGTGCTGGGCGTTAAAGCAGAGATGATCGCCCTTGGGAGAGAGACGATTAGACTACTGAGATACTGTAATCAGGTCTAGGATTGGCCCTGCGCTGCATCTGCTCAGACCTGCACCCTGATTAGCCCTAATCTAGCTGGCATATGTTAACCTAAAGCATGGATTTCAGACCCTTTCAATTGTATTAAAACCAGGAAATCCGTTAGACACGAAAACCCCAACTTCTTGAGTCTTTGAAAAATATATATCTGCAAAGAAAGTAGAGCCATGCCGGGGTGGCTCTGTGAGGAACGGGGCACGCACGGAGAACCCCGGCTGAGTCAGGGCAGAGGGATCCCGCTGGATCCCACACGCACCTCACACCGGCTCCTGCCTGGGGAGGGACGACAGCAGAGGCGATGAGTCACGTACCGGGCACCACCGAACACGGCCGCAGGCTCTTGGCAAGCAGGAAGATGTAACCGGGCTGTGCGCTTGCTTCCCCCCCGCGAAGCCTCCCCGAAAACCCCACTGGAAGGAGCGGTGGGCCAGACACGAAGCCCAGGCACCTCCATCCACCCCCCTGCCCATCACCCGTTCCTGGCCACCAGCCTCACCTACCTGCCACAGCACCTCCCGTCCTCAGCAGGGATGAGGAGCCAGCTCCAGACGACCGGGCACAAGGACAACATCTACAGAGGGAGCTGGGACAGAGCCAGCACCGAGTTTCGGCTCTCGCTTACTTACCTGCAGCGTGCCAGAAGACTTTTTTTTGGTGGATGATCAGTTGGCTTTGGTAGGAAGGCGGCTATGGCATGGCCAGCAGCGCCTGACAGCCATGGAGGGGAATGGGTCAGGACACCAGGCTTGGCCAAGGGAGGAGAGCCATGGCAGGCCTTAGACGTTGAGATGGCCACCATGAATCAAAGGATTAGAGTCTGAGACGGCTGCCGTTGTACTCTAATGCTGGGTCAGACAACACAGCAGCTGCATTTTAGCTGGGGGACTGTGACGGGCCGTGGGAGATAATGAAACTCTTGCTGTTTCAGCAGCGAAGAGGTTCCAGCTTACAGAAGAAGGAGGGAAAGGGTTAGGCTCTACCTGCGACGATGGAGCCACAGGATTCAGAGGCAAAAAGTCATGTGATGGAGACACCTTACCTGGCACGGAGGACAGATCAGCAGCAGCGTAAGAGCAACTGTTTTGATCCTAAATTGCAGGCGACTGCACTAAACCACCACAAAGGGCTTTGGGGGAGAAGGTGGGGTGGGTGGGATGATTCAGTGCCCTGGAAATTGGTGCTGAGGTTCAGCAGTGCCCTGGACATCCAGGACAGTCGATGCTCAGGGGACCAGGGTCGCTGGTGCCAGTTTCTGTCTGGTTTTGATCTCAAGGGCTGTCGTGGTTTGGACCTGGTTGGCTGCTAAAAGAGCTGTTAAAGCAAGTGCAGCCCGAGGAAGAGAAAGAGATACTACCAGTCTCCAGTTGTTGGGCACGTTCGCAGTCCTTCAGGATCTTCAGTACTCACAGACACAAGACATGCTGTTTTTTTCCCCCAGTATCCATTTCCCAAGAGGTATCCTTGTCTCCTGTTCTATGTCTGGAAGTTTAAAGTGGTTCAGGCCATCTGCTAAGGTGCTCAAAGTACACAGGTAGCTAACTAGCCAAGCAGATCCACTCTTCAATGCCCCCATTCCACAAACTGGTTCTTTCCTGACCATAGATGAGGTGAGGTCTACACCACCGGGCTGTTGATACAGCCCATCGCTGTGTTGTTGGACCACACTGGGAGACAGGTACTGAGGACTCATCTGTCAACATCCCATGTGGCTCCACATCCGCATGCCGAGAGACTCAATAAAGCTTATTTAGTGGATGTCTCATTCCAGGTATGAAGCAATCATACCAGATATGGATGGAAGATGGGCTGGAATGGAAATGCAGATCCTACCACCACGAAGGTCCCATCAGTGAGGAAACCTTAACAGCCTAGGGCAACCTTGGCCAAAGCTCTGTCTGAAGCTGGAATGTAAGCATCAAGTTGTGATCCGGCAGCAGATGGTATGAAGAGCCTTGCTGTCCTGTGAATGGTTGGTAT